TGGTTTCCCAGCCTGGAGTTGTGGGAACGTCTCTTCCCAGCCTGGAGCCCTGGGCTGGGGGCCTGCTGTGGGGCTGGGACCCCTCCCTCCTCCGGGAAACCTCTGCCGCCGAGATTCCCTCCCAGGTTTTAGCCGCTGCACCGGGTATGGGCCTGCGGCCGCGTCTCTGCAATTCAGCCCCGATCCGCCCGCGTCTGCGCCCCTCCTACTGGTTTCAGTGCTTCTTCAGTTCCCTGGTTGTGGGGCTTCTGTTCAGCCAGATTTCAGGAGGCTCTGAGTGATGGTGGTTCTGTATTTTAGTTGTAATTTAACGTGGTTGTGGGAGGCGGCGGGTGCAGCTGTTACCTACGTCGCCATCTTGTTTCTCAGCCTCAATCTCAAAGTTCTTAATTGCTCTTCAACAAGCTTTCATTTTGCACTGGGCCCCACAAACTATGTAGCCAGACCTACACACAAGAGCATAAAAAAAACTCTGCCGACACCTCAGAGAAGCCCCTTTGTGTTTCCCTCACTGTTGAGGTCATAATGTTTTCCAAATGCCATTGTGCTATCTTTTTGACTTAGTCCTACTTTACAAGTTTATATGCAAATCTTTGAATATTTCTAATATTATATATATTAAAAAAATTTTTAAATATGTTTTTATTGATTTCAGAGAGAAGAAGGGAGAGGGAGAGAGAGAGAGAAACATCAATGATGAGAGTCATGGATTTGCTGCCTCCTGCATGCNACGTGGTTGTGGGAGGCGGCGGGTGCAGCTGTTACCTACGTCGCCATCTTGTTTCTCAGCCTCAATCTCAAAGTTCTTAATTGCTCTTCAACAAGCTTTCATTTTGCACTGGGCCCCACAAATTATGTAGCCAGACCTACACACAAGAGCATAAATAAAACTCTGCCGACACCTCAGAGAAGCCCCTTTGTGTTTCCCTCACTGTTGAGGTCATAATGTTTTCCAAATGCCATTGATCTTTTTGACTTAGTCCTACTTTACAAGTTTATATGCAAATCTTTGAATATTTCTAATATTATATATATTAAAAAAATTTTTAAATATGTTTTTATTGATTTCAGAGAGAAGAAGGGAGAGGGAGAGAGAGAGAGAAACATCAATGATGAGAGTCATGGATTTGCTGCCTCCTGCATGCCCCCTGCTGGGAACTGAGCCCTCCACCCTGGGCATGTGCCCTGACCAGGAATCGAACCGTGATCTCCTGGTTCATAGGTTGGCTCAACTACTAAGCCATGCCTGCTGGGCTCTAATGTTATATATATATTCAAATTTTTATTTTTCAATTACAGTCTTACATTCAATATTATTTTGTATCCAGACTGCTATTTATAATGTAGACAACAACCTAAGGAGGATCTAGCAATTCCACTGCTGGGTGGAATTCCACGAAATTTCACTGAAAAAATTGAAAGCGGAGACTAGAATAGACATTTACACAGTCATGTATATAGTAGTATTATTCACAATAGTCAAAAGGTGAAAGCAATCCAAGTGTCCATGGATGGATGGATGGATAAACCAAATGTGGCAAATATAGAGTGTTCCAGTCCCTAAAAATATATACACACTTTAACAGCTGATAACTGACTTAGTATTCATACCTTTTCAGGTTTAACTGACTTGAAGTAATGGGTGAAGCCAAACTAGGCTTTGAACAAAGAAAATTTATCCCAAAGTGCCACTAGACTTTTTTTTTATTGGAATACATAAAAATAAAGTTTATGGTATAAAACTGGCAACAGTCGATATATGAGGGCGCACAAATACCGAAGGAAAGGATTCTTGATGTTTGTGACTCCATTGCTTCAAGTTATCAGCTGTGCCTAGACCAGAACGGTCATCAGGTTGAAAACAGGCATTGACAAAAAAAATTATTCATTTCTGTAGATTTTTTAAATTTTGAAAATGAGCTATATGTTTAATAAACATTGACTTTATAATCATTCAAAGGGTATATACATTTTTGGAGGGGCACTCTGTATATCCAATGAAATATTACTCAGCCTTAAAAAGGAAAGAAATGACACATGCTACAGCAGATATGAACCTTGAGGAAATTATGCCCAGTGAAATAAGCCAGTCATGAAAGGACAAATATTGTATGAGCCACTCATATGAGGTTCCTATAGGGGCCAAATAGAATGGTGGCTGCCAGGCTGGGGAGTGCTGGTGTTTAATGAGTACAGGGTTTCACTTGGGGAAGGCAAAGGCCTGGAGATGGATGGTTCTGGACCCCTAGTCATTTCTTTTATTTACATATTTTCACGTCATGAAACTCCTTATACAGTGCATTCAGGAACTTTGCATAGGGATCAGGTTAGCCCCTAACTTTTGGGTCTTAGTTCCCTTTCCTCCAATAGAGCAGATCTTTTTGATAAAATCTGTCTTTGAGAATTATCTATTCTACGGACATGCATTGAAAAACCAGCATTTGTTTTNAACTACTAAGCCATGCCTGCTGGGCTCTAATGTTATATATATATTCAAATTTTTATTTTTCAATTACAGTCTTACATTCAATATTATTTTGTATCCAGACTGCTATTTATAATGTAGACAACAACCTAAGGAGGATCTAGCAATTCCACTGCTGGGTGGAATTCCACGAAATTTCACTGAAAAAATTGAAAGCGGAGACTAGAATAGACATTTACACAGTCATGTATATAGTAGTATTATTCACAATAGTCAAAAGGTGAAAGCAATCCAAGTGTCCATGGATGGATGGATGGATAAACCAAATGTGGCAAATATAGAGTGTTCCAGTCCCTAAAAATATATACACACTTTAACAGCTGATAACTGACTTAGTATTCATACCTTTTCAGGTTTAACTGACTTGAAGTAATGGGTGAAGCCAAACTAGGCTTTGAACAAAGAAAATTTATCCCAAAGTGCCACTAGACTTTTTTTTTATTGGAATACATAAAAATAAAGTTTATGGTATAAAACTGGCAACAGTCGATATATGAGGGCGCACAAATACCGAAGGAAAGGATTCTTGATGTTTGTGACTCCATTGCTTCAAGTTATCAGCTGTGCCTAGACCAGAACGGTCATCAGGTTGAAAACAGGCATTGACAAAAAAAATTATTCATTTCTGTAGATTTTTTAAATTTTGAAAATGAGCTATATGTTTAATAAACATTGACTTTATAATCATTCAAAGGGTATATACATTTTTGGAGGGGCACTCTGTATATCCAATGAAATATTACTCAGCCTTAAAAAGGAAAGAAATGACACATGCTACAGCAGATATGAACCTTGAGGAAATTATGCCCAGTGAAATAAGCCAGTCATGAAAGGACAAATATTGTATGAGCCACTCATATGAGGTTCCTATAGGGGCCAAATAGAATGGTGGCTGCCAGGCTGGGGAGTGCTGGTGTTTAATGAGTACAGGGTTTCACTTGGGGAAGGCAAAGGCCTGGAGATGGATGGTTCTGGACCCCTAGTCATTTCTTTTATTTACATATTTTCACGTCATGAAACTCCTTATACAGTGCATTCAGGAACTTTGCATAGGGATCAGGTTAGCCCCTAACTTTTGGGTCTTAGTTCCCTTTCCTCCAATAGAGCAGATCTTTTTGATAAAATCTGTCTTTGAGAATTATCTATTCTACGGACATGCATTGAAAAACCAGCATTTGTTTTGGTTGGTCTGGCTTTGATTAAACAGCTCTAAGTGTTTTAGAGGTAAATTTTCTAAGTCTTTTGGATAATTCCCTTTGAAAGAGAGCAAATGTTAGGAAAAGGAAATCTGTGTATACCCTGGGAGGCTGTGGGACAGAATGACAGCATGATTTATTGGAAGCTAGCCTGAAGGGAGAGATGAGAGAGGAAAAAAGAGAGGTGGGAAGAGGGGGCAAGAAGAGAGGAGGGTGAGAGAGGAAGGGGGGCAGAGAGAGAAAGGGGGACACAGAGAGACTGCTGCCACCAAGCTCAGACAAGAGGAGGTGACGCTGGATGTAGAAACAGCAGTGACCTTGCCAGTTGCCCCCCGGCCTTTAGTTTCACCCCAAGTCCATTCTTCAAGTGGCCTCTAAAACGAAGCTCTACAAGGCTAAGGGCTGATAAGTCTGTTCTCTGCCTTCATTCCTCATCTGTTACCCCATCCCCACTGCTGCCCCTTGGCTTCGAACTGTCCAAATGCCACGCTTGATGGGAAGCATCCACGATGGTCAAGGAGCTGGGAGTAGAGGTGGTGTGGCCTTTGCTTGCAGGTGAGTCCGCAGCCTGGGCTCCCGGTGGCACCCTGACCTGCCACATCTTTCTCTGAAGGGACCTGGAGTCATGCTAATGATTGGCCAAGGTGAGACCTTGCCCTCTAAGGAAGGAAGTCAAGGAAGAAAACCCATTTGCTTTTGTTTCCTTCTGCCTGTCCTGAGGATCTTTAAGCAGGTGTGTGTTGAACCCCTTTCACAGCTGCAACTCCGTGCTCAGCCGCACTGACAGCTGAAAGGAGAGTGTTATCATTCTCTGTCGCCAGGTGCTGGCTAAACGTCCTACGGGGAACAGTTAGAACAAACATCAAGTTGTTATCTATGTGTTGATATAGAATTTCGTCGTCACGGTTTTTCTAACCCTGCCCACTGCATGGAAGCCTATGCTGCTGAACATGTCCAATAGGAGAGCGGTCCCCTCGCCTTCACTGGCCCCTCCCTCGCCCCGCCGCCCCTCACATCACAGCACACTTCTGCTCCGCCGTCTGCCTGATTCCCGAGAGTGTGGCCTCTGCCGTCTGCTTGATTCCCGTGGCCGTGGCCTCTGCCGTCTGCTTGATTCCCATGGCCGTGGCCTGGGCTTTTTCTTTGACGGTGTCCAGGTCCACGTTCTGAAGACTCTGTAGCTGCCTGAGGATAGAATCCTTGTCTTCTTCCTCCTCTTGGTCTTCATCTACCATTTTCCGGAGATCTTCGGGCACACCCACGTCATCTCCAGCCCCCTGGATCTGGGTCTCATCCATTTCGCTCTATGCGGAGAAACAAAGGCTTAGACGGAGAGCACACTCTGAGCCCAACAACATGCAAACAAATATTAAAAGCTGCAGGAGAGCAGAGGCCTGTTGAGGGGTGAAGGGAATGGCATGCTTGGCTGTCTCTCAGTGGAGCCCGGGCTGGTGGCCACGACAGAGGTGGGGGTCCTGGCTGAGACACCCCTCTTTCGGTGCACTTGGGGGGGTCAGAACCGCTAGCACAGTGGTTTTCAAAGTGTGGTCCCTGGACCCAGCAGCCTCAGCATCATCTAGGACCATGTTAGAAAGACAAATTTTTGGGCCCCATCCCAGACTTACTGAATCAAACGCTCCTGGGCCAGGCACACCCATCTGTGTTTTAAGAAGCCCTCTCTGTTATGCTGATGATGCAAAGCTTGAAAACCACCCACCGATCTGGCCTCGGCAGCTCTGGGAGCTTTTCTGTCCAGCAGCCCCAGGCTGGGACTCAGTGACCCTAGCTGATCTGATTCTAGAGGGTGGGGTTGGGGTTCACAGTGGCCTCACAGTGCTCCTCAATATTAGGCATCACTCTTGAGTGGCAGCTTCTGCTTAACTATTTATTGTCCCTTCCGCCCCTTCTACTAGATGAGGGGACGGGGGCCCTGGTGGGTGCAGAATCATGCCAACTTCAGCCTTTCATCCTTGGCACCTGGAAGCTAGCCTGGCTCCCACTCAGCATCCTGACTGTCTGGCCATAGTTTGCCTTATAATTTCATCTCATGTTCTAGGCATGACTGTTCCTGAATTTCCAAGAGCCTGACACCTGGTATTAAAAATCCCTTTGTTTTATAATGAGAGAGAAGAATCTAGAGAAAAAGTTTCTCTGGGAAAGGTTAAGGGTGGTGGACACTCCCAGATTGCTGCTATCAGATAATTTTCTGAGATTAGGTTGTAACAGGAGACACACTGGGCTTCAGGGGCAGATACGATTAAAGAGAGTGTCAGAAAAGCGAATGTTAGGGAAGACCTAGGTAAAGTTGAGGGTCACCTCGATATGTGTTAACCAGTCTGGAATTTGTCACAGATCACATAAAAATAAAACGATCATCTTAGTCTTAATCAGACAACATTGATTTGGCTAAAGAAAGATTTTGATGCCTGCTGAATCCCCAGGTGGAGTTCAAGTTAGCACCTACAGGGAGCATCCCCTTGCCTGGGTGCAGAGTAGAGATAATCATAAACAAACATCGGTTGTCTCGAGGTCCAAATGGTGAGCCAGGGTGACGTGTAAACCTGACCCTCCATCTGTAAAGTGGGTGTCCGAGGGCCCTTTCCATTCTAACTGTCCAAGGCTCCATACTTCTCCAGCAGATCCTTTGAGAAGCTGGAGGCCACAGCCTTTCCACAGAGCTCCTTCCTGTATTTGTTTCTCTGGGCAGAGTAACAGCAAGCCTGGCTCTAGAAACAGCTGGAGAGGCAGACTTCTGATGCAGGGGTGACAATGCCTCAGAGGCATGAGTCTCACACAGGTCCTCCTGAAGACCTCTGAGGTCCATTCCTAGCGTCACCTCCTGAGGTTGGAGAAGTCTCTCCTGCACTTGGCCAGGCCTTGGCCCCTCAAAGTGCTTAATGGATTAATTAGTTCCTGGGCAAACTGTTGTGGGGATTAAATAGTTAGCTAATCCCCAGGGGCTCTCAGCCAATCCTCCACATCTACTTATTTTTTATTTGCCTACCCTAGAAATTGCCTTCGTGCTGATTATCCTCTGGGCAGTTTTGCAGGAAAGAGAGGAGACACAGGATTGCAGCCTGGCGAGCTTCAGCTTATGTCAGTGCTGGGCATCGGCCTTCTCTTATGCACCCTGGAATAACGTGATTTGAAAGGGCATTCCTGGGAATTCTGACAGCTTGTCCCTCTAGTTGGTAATAAGATCTCTGTGGATGTCACCAGGCCTCAGATGAGGCTGCGGGTTTGCACTGGGTAATTGTGACTTGTGCACATGTGGTCAGCCCCATCAGAAGGACTTACTCTCTTTGCACCTCACCTCTGGCCTAGGAATGGCCCTGTTTTTGCTCAATAGGCTCAGCTTTCCTAGCAACCTAGGCCTATTCATTTCTCTTTTGGCACTAGGCCCTCAATTCTGGGAGAAAGCCACCTAGAGGGCCCAACTTCCCCTTTCCCCTGTCAGGCCCATCCTTATGTTTATAGGTCCCAGAGGATGAGTACTGGTGAAGATCCTGGCTCACAATCTGGCCCCCTTTTTTTTCCAGGCCCTGGCTCCATCTTCCCCTGGGAACCTTGTGTGTATGCATCCCAGACTCCTGCCTTACTCTTCAGCTCTAGCATTACTCAGGCTGGGGCAGCTCAGTGTAGTCTCAGGATGACAGGCCAGGTGCAAAGGCCTGGGCTGGCCCCAGAATACATTTAGGCAAGGAATCTGGGGTCCTGGGCAGCCAGAGTGTGGTCTAAAAGAGGGGTGTGGGCTCTGGATAGGCCTGTCCCTTTGGCCCTGTAGACTTCTCACCCCATGAGAAGGACTGTGGCCTGAGGAAGGACAGAGGGGAGCCCTCTACAGTGTGGGTTCCAAGGCAGGTAGCCAAAGTTGTCCAGTCTAAAGACAATATTGGTTGCCATGGCCAGTGTGGCCTAGTTGGTTGGAGCGTCGTCCCAACCAACTGACCAGGTTCGAACTGACCAGGTTCGATTCCTGGTCAGGGCACATACTTAGGTTCTGTCCCTGGTTGGGGTGCATGTGGGAGGCAACCAATCGATGTGTGTGTGTGTGTCTCTCTCTCTTTCTCCCTTCTCTGTAAAAACCAATAGGAAGGAAGGGAAGGAAGGGAGGAAGGGAGGAAGGAAGGAAGGGAGGGAGGGAAGGAAGGGAAGGGAAGGGAAGGGAAGGGAAGGGAAGGGAAGGGAAGGG